TGTCAAACTGTGTTATTTCTATAGTGTAGATGCACTCGTAGTGATCTGAGTGTTGGTCTAGGATTCTTGGAGACCAGGGTTCGAATCACTGGATGACAATTGGAAATCACATTTTCTCAGCCTTAGAAGAAAGTAATGGCAAATCTCCTCTGAACAAATCTTGCCAAACGCACTGCACAAATAATCCAGTTTGAGACCGCTTTAACTGCCCTGGCTTAATGCTAAGGAATTGCAGTTTTGTGAGACATTTAGCCTTCTCTGTCAGAGAGCTCTGGTGCCACAACAAACTACAATTCCCAGGATTCCCTAGCACTGAGCCAGGGCAGTTAAAGCGGTCTCAAACTGGGATTATTTGTGCAATGTGTTTTGGACCCCAGAAAACCCTGTGAAAGGGTTGCCATCAATTGGAAATGAACTGAAGGCACACATCATCATCATCAGATTGTGATGCATCTTCTTCTTTTTTAATCAGTGGATCAAATCTGGAATGGCACCGAGGAATATGAAGGACACGATTCTCTTTGTGTGTGTACAAAACACTTTGTCCAAATCAATCAATAATTTTACAGCCAGACCCCACAAATCACAGGTTGGGGATCTGGCCAATGCCCCAAAGCAGAGCTTCCAGGCAGGTGTCAACCCTAATATTTCTTTTAAAGTCATTAACTACATGCCTGCTGACCAACAGTGAATCACTTTGATTTGCCTTCCACATATATACCGTGACAAAGCAAGAAATTATCCTGCCTCAACAGACATCCAGGTAAACACTCCCTGACCCAGCTTCTAAAGTGTCTCAACGATTCCCTCTGATCAAATCATGCATTTTGGCTATTGATCCCGGCAGGTGGCTCTTCTTTTCCTTCAACATGGCCACTGGCCTCAACAAAGAGACAGAGAAAAAGACCCAAGCATTGGAACAACTAACTGCCTGGTTGCCAAACCAGACTCAGCTTTCAACAGGAGGTGAAAATGGCCAACAGGCAAAAAGACAGAGGTGCGGATGAGGGGAAAGAAAAGTATAGCACCTAGCACACTTCTTAATACACTGGGCCCTTGGTATCCACTGGGGTTTGGTTCCAGGACCCCCGTGGAGACCAAAATCCGTGGATGCTCAAGTCCTATTAAAGACAATGGCATAGTAAAATGTTGCCTCTTATATAAAATGGCAAAATCAAGGTTTGCTTTTTGGAATTTATATTTTTTCCTGAATATTTTCAAACCATGGAGGGTTGAATCGGTGGATAAAGAATCTGTGCATACAGGGGAACAACTGCATAGACAATGGGAGCATCTATAATGGAGTCTGATACCACTTGAACACCCACGGCTCCATCCTACAGGATCCTGGGATGTGTCGTTTTGTGAGGTACCAGCCCTCTTTGGGCAGAGAAGGCTAAAGAGCTTGTAAAACTACAAATCTCAGGAATCCATAGGATGGTGCTACGGCACTTAAAGTGGCGTCAAATTGCGTGGTGTAGTGGTTTGAGCTTTGGACTCTGGAGAGCAAGTTTGAATCCTGGCTCAACCATGTAAACCCACTGGGTGACCTTAGGCAAATCACACTCTCTCAGCCTCAGGGGATGGTCATGGCAAGCCCCTTCTGAAGAAACTTGCCCCCCAAAAATCCCATGATAGGTTCACCTTAGGGGTGCTATACATCAGAAAGAACTTGAAGGCACACAACAACAACAACAACAGCAACAAAGCTGTCAATTGTTTAATAGTATTTTAAGGGGGGGTGGGATTGTGGGATATGAAATGTATATTTTAATGTTGTAAGCCGCCCCGGTTGCGTTACGCAGAGGGGTAGGATAAAAATAAATTATTATTATTATTATTATTATTAATTAAGCAGATTATGCTGCAGAGAGGGTGACCAGATGTCCTAACCACATACAAGGTACCGCAAAATGTAGGGACATTCCATACAAATGTAGGACATGACCAAATAAAAGCAAAAGACACTCGTAGAAATATAATAAACTCATGCTTCTCAAAATGGAGGACCTTTTGGAACTCCTCCTGGGCAGATGGCTGAAATGTAGGGCCTGTCCTGGAAAAGGAGGTCAAGCGGTCACCTTAACTGCACAATTGGGGTGGGGGGGGGAAATATTTCCAAAATGTTGGACAAAAACTCCCAGAATCCCCAAACTGCCTGGGCCATTATCCTGGCAGTTCTCCCTCACATGCAGGTAGGTATGCCTCCCAAGGTGTGGGAGAGCAGGGCTCCGAAGCAGAAGGAAGGCCTCCAGGTGGCTTTCCTTTCCTCCTACTCACCACAGCCCAGCAGCAGAAGGCCTACTCCAGGTCCCAGGTGGCCCCATTGGCTCCCCATGGCTTCTTCAGGTGGTGCTTCCCCCCTTTTTCCAGCCCCGTGGGCTCCTGTGGCGAAGGTGGAAGGAGGCTCCAGGTGGTTCCGACAGGTAACCCAACAGACAGGTGGAATGAGGCGGAAGCCTGGCAGCCCAGACTCTAGCCTTGCTCCTGGGGAGAGGGGAGGGGCTGGGCTCCAGGCCTGAGCCAATCAGCGGCGCTCCAAGGGGCCCTATTTGCATACTCACCTGTCGGCGGCGGCAGCCGCTGCTCACCTGTCGGCGGGCCTTCCTCCTCTTTCCAGGCTGGTTTCTTCCTCTCAAAGGATCCCGTTGGACCCCACTTTGGCCCACAGGACACACGGCAGAAATAATCCGCTTTGCCTGCCCTGACTCAATGCTAGAGAAAGATGGGGACTCTGGGTTTCTGAGACCTTTAGCCCTTTTGGTCGGAAGAGAGCTCTGATGCCGCCATCCCCTATACAGGTGGCCCTCCGGATCCACTGGTGTTGGGGTTTTTTTAATCCACGGATTTAAATATCCACAGCTTGAAGATATTTTTAAAAGGGACATACTAAAACAAATCATAGTCCTTGCCCTAGGGAAACCATACTTGCCCATAGGGAATCATTGGGGAACACCTGCCCATAGGGAAACATAGAATACTTGCCCATAGGGAAACATAGAATACCTGCCCATAGGGAAACATGGAGGAATACTTGCCCATAGGGAAACATAGAATACTTGCCCATAGGGAAACATAGGGGAATACCTGCCCATAGGGAAACATGAAGGAATACTTGCCCATAGGGAAACATTGAAGAATACTTGTCCATAGGGGAACATTGGGCAAGTATTCCATGTTTCCCTATGGACAGGCATTCTCCAGTGTTTCCCTATGGGCAAGTATTCTGCAGTGATTCTCTATGGGCAAATATAGTTTCCCTGTGGGCAAGTACTGTCATTTGTTTTAGTATGTCCATATATATATATATATATAGTCCATTCCAAAAAGCAAACTTTGATTTTGACATTTTATATAAGGGACACCGTTTTTCCTATGTCATAGTATTTAATGGGACTTCCGCATCCGTGAATTTTGGCAAACCCATGGGGGTTCCTGGAACCAAACCTCAGCAGATACCAAGGGCCCATTACAAATCCCAGGATGCCATAGCATGGAGCCATGGCAATTAGTGGCCTCAAACTGGATTATTTCTTCAGTGCGGATGCAGTCCTAGGTACACTTGCTTTTACCCAGAAGTTTTAATGTTTGACATCTCATGCCTTAACTTCTTAGGCTTCTCTGCCCTTCCAAACTGGGATAGAGGCTCCTGGCTTGCACACTATCATAACTGTAGTTTTGTGTGACATTTAGCCTTCTCTGTCAGATTGCTCTGGTGCCACCGCAAACTACAAATCCCAGATTCCACAGCAGTGTGGATGCAGCCATAGCATGAATGGAAGGTATCTCTTCGGCTGCATCTGCACTGCAGAAATAACCTGGTTTGATACCACTTGAACTGCCAGGCTTCAATGCTACAGAATTCTGGGAAGTGTAATTTGTTGTGGCACAAGAGCAGTTTTGCAAGGAACAGTCCTGGTTGATCTTCTGTTCTTCCACATTTTTGCTGCTTTTTAAAATGTCCCAGGCTGCAGCCGAACTGCAGAAATAATGTAGTCTGATACTGCTTTAATTGCCAGGCCTCAGTGCTATGGAAATCTGGACTCTGTAGTTTTGAGAGTTGTTTAGCCATCTGTGTCAGAGAGCTCTGTTGCCACAACAACCTACAATTCCCAGAATTATTATTATTATTAAAAATGACATAAGCCAGTGTGGTGTGGTGGCTTGACCGTTGGACTATGACTCTAGAGACCAGGGTTCGAGTCCCTTCTCAGCCAAATAAACTCACTTGGTGACCCTGGGCATGTCATACTCTCTCAACCTCAAGGGAAGGCGATGGCAAACCTCCTCTGAACAAATCTTGCCAAGAAAACCTCAGGATAGCCTTAGGGTTGCTATAGTTTGGAAACAACTTGAAGGCACACAACAACGACAAAATTAAGAAATGACAATTTGTTTATTATATTTCTTTTTAATCTACCTTTCCTTCTAGGAGTTCAGAAGTTTCAGAATATATGTATAGATACACACACACCTTTTTTTAAGTCAATAACCCTCTGAAGTAGGCTAGACCAAGATATAGTAATAGGCGCAAGGATATTGATGGTATCAGATATTGTTAACTGATCTACTAATTTACAAATATTACAGTCATTTGAATGCTTAATATATTTTAAATAATTGTATCAATGTAATGGTGCTAGTATATTAGAACTATTGTGGAAAATGTACAAGAGAAATGAACTATTACTATGGCTTAACTGGTGAGTTTCAGGCAAGAATAAGAATCAGCCTGGTTCAAAGGTAACACTTTGTCCAGAATTATGTACTTTGATTTCAGTAGGTTTAAAACTTCCTAAATATGCACAGGATTTAGCTCTTTGGCTGCTGGAGAACTTTCTTCAGGCAAACAGTTCTGTGAATTTCAAAAGTTTGCATATTCTAGCATTAACATAAGAAAGTTGAATGGAAAACAACAGTTTATTTGCTTTGTATCAGTAAATGAGTCAGTGCCAACTATCTAATTTGCTTTTGAATATGGAAATTGTTTAACATTCTTTAGTTCAGCCTTCTCAAACCTAGTGATCTCCAGGCGCTTGGGATGGGACTACAGCTCTCATTAGCCCCAGCTAGTATGGCCACTTGTCAGGAATGATGGGAATTGTAATCTAAAACAATATGGGAAAAGGCTGCTTCAATCGATTCTAAAAATAAAAAAAACCCCTATTTGAATCTGTTTTTACAGCAGGGGAATTGAGGCAGAAAGAGATGGACTTACCTCCAATTTACTTGTAAAAGTTTTTGTCTCAGACAGGAGTTGAGTCCAGAAATTTTGGACTGGACCCTGCTGCGCCCATCCCTACTCTCACGGCTCCTTCTGATACGGTGTCCCTTTACTTCCATCTTAAAGATTAGAAAACAAACAAGATAAGTTGCAGAAAGTTCAAGCTTCTGCCATGCAGGACCAAGTTATTCCTTCACTATCTTTCCCTAACCTAGGCAGGCAATCATCAGATAAAGACATAGTGAAACATTAAAAAATGTCGATAACCTTCCCCCCCCCCCCCAATAGGCAAGTGTAAAAGATGTGTTGTTACATCCTTCTTGAATAAGAGACACATGCTTAGGTCCAGGGTCTCTGACAGATCTCTCCATTAAAAATCCTGAGATCCACAAGAGAGGCCTTTTTATCAGCTCCATCATCTTCACAGATACACATGAGGGTCTTCTCAATGGCTGCCCCTAGGCTTTGGAGCTCCTTCCCTACGGAGGTTGCCCTTCTGCCAGCCAGTAAAGACTTTGAGGTTATTCACACTGTGAAAAGAATTCATGATCAATCTGGGTTAAATCTCCATTGTTCACACACATCCGGAATGTACCTGATTAAGGGGATTTTTTGGGGGGGGTGCCAAGAAGTTCACTTAATCTGGGATAATTGATATCGGGTTTTACCCCATAGTTTATCAAAAGATCCACATCATCGGTAGTGTGAATAACTGATGCAAATAGACCCAGGATGAAACACTGCATACCAAAAAAGTGGTTCTGAATGCATTTGCATCGTTGGCGCCATCTTTATTCTAATGCTTGCACATGTGAACAACTGAACTCTCAGAGATGTGGATCGATGTTCTATAGCAGGGGTAGGCAACCTTTCCCCTTTAAGGGCCGAGGGACTTCAGCTCCCAGAAGCCTCAGCCATGTTGGCCAATAGTCCCATGTTGGCCAATAGCTCCTGGGATTCTGGGAGCTGAAGTCCCTCGGCCCTTAAAGGGGAAAGGTTGCCTACCCCTGTTCTATAGTGTGAATAACAAACCCAGAATGTGTGAGTGAGATGATTTGCATCGTCGCACTAAAAAAGAGTGCCCAACGACGTGCGAAAGACCCTTGTGTTAATCAGACTGGCTTTTAGAATGGAAGATTATGGTTCAATATGTATAAGATTTAGATAAGTTAATTAAGAATAATGTGATTTATAATATACTGTATATGTAAAACTGTGTGTAAGATTTTTTTTTAAATATTGTTTTAATTATGCTATATTATTATTAATAAAAATTATAAAAAAAATTAGACTTTAAAGGGAAAGGGCTATAAGTAGGCTGAAGATACGTACCATTTTAAATGGGACAATATTGTTGTTTTTTCATATTTTCATACTGTCCTGTTGTTTTAATATAAATGTCAGTTTTGTCCCATTTTCAAGAAAAGTGCCCTGTTATGCTATGAAAATGGTTTTCAGATCTCTGTTTGAAATTGTGGTTGTTAAAAAAAAAAAAAGTGTCATGGAGTGTAAGAAGTTTTATGATAAGGTGATTGAAATACTGACGTTTGCTGCATAAGATTACTTAACTGGAGAAATATTCATGATATGATTGTGGCACAATACAATCCCCCTCTATGTCAACTTAATTTTTGTATGAGTTCTGTAACCGAAGAATAATTGTTAGCTCAATATATTCATGTAATAAAACTTTTGTTATCGTACTACTTTTTAATTAATATTACATAATCCCGTCCCATTTTTGCCATCCCAGTGTCCCGTTTTTGTCACAAGGAAACATGGTCAGCCTAGTTATAAGAGCTGTACTGTTTTAAACTGTATTTTTTAACATTTTTTTTAAATTGAATACTATGGTGTGGTAAATAATTTAATTTTATTTTGGTGTTGGCTTTTTGTCTGTTTTGTTGTTGTGCCTCCAAGTCATTTTTGACTGATGGTAACCCTAAGGTGAACCTATCATAGAGTTTTCTTGGCAAGTTTCTTCAGAGGGGCTTTGCCATTGCCATTCTCTGAGGCTGAGAGAGCGTGACCTGCCCCAAGGTCACCTAGTGAGCTGAAGTCCATAATACCTGGAGGACCAGAGTTTGGCAACACTGAAATAGATAGTTTCATTTAGTCAGGCTTTTGACTGTATGCAGAGGATAGAGCTTTTTACCAGTCACCCTGCCTTTTTCTTAATGTTTTAAATTATGTTTAGAGACTATTAATTTAATTCTGATAAATAGCTAGTCTAGTTTTGTGTTTAATCCTGTATTAAGCATTACTCTCAACAACCTTGAGACTCAACACTAGGGGGAAAGTAGTTTATAAATTCATATAGCCATATAGTCCTACTGTTAGGGAAAAAGTAGTTTATAGTCCAATTGAAAAAAATAAGGACAGTAGAATATGAACTGGGCTGAGTGGCAGCAATAGGCAGTGCTTGGAAAAGTTACATCTACAAATCTTAGAATCCCACAGGGTTTAGCCAACTGTACACTAAAAAAGTAACTTCTGCATGTTCTGAAATGGGTAGAGGAGACAAAATATTGCGTGGGGGGGGGAAATAAAGAACTGAGGAAAGAATGGGCCAAAGTGAAGGCAGAACTGGAATTTAAAAAATTACACGTATGTCCTGTGGATGAGGGATCTTGTGATGTTGAAAGAAGTTGCTTTGGTGGCGGAGGGATATTGGATCAGAGATGCAAAGAGGGAATGAAGAGTGTGTGTACAAGAGAGAGAAGGAAACTGGGCAGAGGCTGCGGTGAATAAAAGTGACACATTTGGGTCTGCAAATTATATTAATTATGATTTCATCTCAGCATCATGTTGACCTGCCACAGGTTCCCACGGCGTGGACTCAGGTTCAGTCCTTGGACATTCCACGAGTTCCCAAGCTTTGCGTTGCTAGCTGAACAACACGTGCCGTGACTCAACAGACGTCAGGAAGCAAGAGGAAAATTAAAGGTTTCCTGTCCCGCCACACGTGAGTTGGGGCTTGTCACAGCCTACAGGTGAGGCCTTAGGGGACAAGAAATGAAAAGGCAGGTGTCTTCTGTGGCTCTCCTCTCTGCTGTTCCCATCCCAGGGCTGTTTAAGGGTGTAGCTTTCTGGGCGTACATGTTTTGCCAGACAAGTGTGAAGGCAATTTTAGGTCCACGAGGAGTAGTGGATGAAACATTATTTCTGCTGTCAGAAAAGCCACATGCCTCCTCAGCCATGAAATTGATACATCGAGGGTGTATGTTTTTGATTTAAGAGAAGGTTTAAAAACTTGGTGCATGTGTAAAGTAAACTGATTTATGAATTTCATGGGCGAGACAAAATCTCTCAGCCTAACCTGCCTCACAGGGTTGTTATAGGGAGGTCATCGGAGAAGATGTTAAAACTTGGTGTATGTGCAAAGTAAAACTAATTTAAACTGAGTAAACTAAACTGATTTATTCTTGCATGGCATGGGGTTGGACTGGATGGCCCTTGTGGTCTCTGATCTACTGAAAAGGGCATTCAGATATGTGTTTTCTTCTCCAAGAAGGCTTCTATAATTCTAATTGCTATTCAAAAGGGAGAAATCAAACAGGTAATGGGAAGAAAATAATCTCATTTGAAATATGGTGCTGCAACTATGGATATTGTGGATTGCTAAAAAGACAAATGCATAGGTATTAGGGGAAATCAAACTTTAATTCTCCCCAGAAGCCAAGATGGATAAACTGAGACTGGACTTTACAAGACGTTGCCACATTTCCCTTCCCCCCCTCCCCCTTTTTTTTCTTCCTTTTTATAGAAAATACAATAACGCTTTGTTGCGGTATAAAGTGGTAGGAAAATAGGAAGACCGCGTTACAGATTGATAGATTCAACCCAGGAAGGCAAGGCCCTAAGTCCTGAGCAAGGCTGTTCATGATAGAGTGACTTGGAGGTCTCTTATCCATAGGATTGCCATAAGCCAAAGTGAAGTTGACTTGTCAGTAGTTAACAACAACAGATCTTTTCCCCACCTCATCATCTTGC